CTCTCTCTCTCTCTCCTTCCCTCTCCCTCTACCTTTCGCTGCATGGTTTCTCAATGGTTTGGCATCTGACCTGAGCACCGCTGTCCTCTTCCCCGATGGCATTATGTGTTTTCAAGATGTTATCTTATCTGTGTGTTTGTGTGTGTGGGTGTGTGTTTGTGTTTGTTTGTTGGTTTGTTTGTTTTGCAATGCGTGGGTTATGTTTTGCTTGTACACGAATTCTTTTTACTGAGAAACAAACAAATCGCAGTGTGACGTGTTTGTGTAAATGTGTGTGTGTGTGTGTGTGTGTGTGTGTGTGTGTGTGTGTGTGTGAGTGTGTGTATCTTGGTGTGTGCGTCTATCAGATTACATCGTGGGGTGGTGATGGCAATAGGTTCAAAGTTAACGATGGTTAGGTTATCTGGTGCTAATAATGACAGGGTGCACGTTGGGTTTTTATTATTTTTACGGTTCGTGTAATGAGGTACGGGGAGACATAAACGTCATTTTAAAGAGTGTTTCTTACCGTGAAGTGTGTGCTAATGTGGTGTATAGTTCTGACTGACACGCACTTGTAGTTGTAGTCCCAAGACACGGTGATAACACTTATTGTTTTTTATGTGGGTGCTTGAAGGGTGTCACTCCTGGGTCCTACCCTCTTTTCTTTCGCTTCTTTCTTTCTTTCTGTTTCGCTTTACTAAATGCCCATTCTTGTGCTTCTCTTTACTCGAACTCAGACTGATCAAAATGGAAGGTTGGCGGGTGTTCTAGTGCTGTTTGCTCCTTCTTTCATTTCAAACATCTAACGTCCTTACCTCTCCTCCTTCTATTTTATATTTGTTACTCTCTTGTAACACTTTTAATATTCGGCACGTATAGAACCCAATTGTGCTGCAAGTGTCATAAAACTCTTCCTGAAACTATTGTCTGCTCCTGCAATTTCTTATTAGTTTCATCATTGTCTTTATTTTTGGTGGCACAACATTGTTTTCTTCTGAAGTTATGATTTTATTTCGAAGTTTTAGAAAAGAATGACTTGTATTCTGAGCTGTTCATTCATCCTGTGCATGAAAATTCTGTAAGTCCCTCTGTTCTTGTTTTGTTCTGTCCAAACCAAGTAAGGTTTATGAAAACACACGTTTGTAGCAATGCCTTGTCGCAACTGTATGAAATTGATCAATAATTATTCATTGGTTTGTTTTTCTCTCCCTTCTGTTTTCAGTACTTCAACCACTTTATCTCGGGGCAGGCTGAGAAAGGCCTTGTCACAGAGCTGAAGAAGCTCAACGAATACCTGGAGGGTCAGGAGACCAAGTTCCTGGTGGACAACGTCCTCTCCTTCGCCGACTGTCACCTCCTGCCCAGGCTCCAGCACATACGAGTTGCTGGCAAGGTAAGGGGGATGGAAAGAGAGAGAGAGAGAGAGAGAGAGAGAAAAGAAGTTGTGGTTCAGTTATTATATAGTGGGACTAAGGGAGATAAAAAGAGGTTGGGGGGGGGGAGAAGAGTTACTGAGGGAGATGTAAAGGAGGGGGGAGAGGAGTTGTGATTCAGTTACTATAAAGTGGGATTAAGGGAGCTAGAAAGGGGAGGGGAGGGGGAGAGAAGAGAAGAAGAGTTGTGATTCAGTAATTAATTATAAAGTGGGACTAAGGGAGATAG